ACTCTTTCTTTTCCTCGACGTACTCCCGACGATTTTGAAGAAAAATGTTTTTGTTAATTTTTTGTTCAGCTTTTTGGTTTGGTTGCTTGTTGTATATCTCTTTGCTTTCCCTTTCTTGTGGCTCGGCCGGAGGCTTTTATAGCCTTGGATCCGACCTTGTGGTTTTGGATATCTCGTTTTTACCGAGCACTTCGGGTTATCTCCCAACTACCCAACTCGTTTGGGTTGTTACTCACGTTCCCTAAGAATCACAGGGGGTACTTGCTCCCGATTTTGTTGTTACTTGCTTCAATTTGGCTATTGCATACTTCTTTGAGATCCATTTGATTTAATTGTTGTTTGCTTCACTTGAAATCCGACCACTGATTTGGTCTGGTTTGGTGTGATTCTGGTTCATCGAGTTACCCGGAAGTTGTTTCGAGATCGTTCCCGAGCGTTTGGCAAATCTTGGGACTTGATCTTGGTCGTTGGATTGGTTGCATATCCAAAGGCCCAAGATCGACTGTGGCACCCCTTAGTTGATACAAAACCCTAAATTATATTTGGGATGGTCAAACCCCCTAACCGAGTTTGCTGGGTCAGGCTTACCCGGTTGGGCTCCTTGCTGGACCTCTGCTAAAGTGTTGGATTTTTGGACTTATTAGACCCTAAAAATAAAAAATAATATTAATAACAATATAATATAAATAAATAAAATAATAAATAATATATATAATATGTATACTATATTTATTTTAAAACCTATATATTATATGTTTTCAAAAATATTTAAAAAACTATATATTATATGTTTTCAAAAATACGTTTCAAAAACTATATTATATATACATTTTCAAAAATATTTTAAAAACTATATATTATATGTTTTCAAAAATGTGTTTTCAAAACTATATATTATATTTCCAAAACCTATTTTTTAAAAAACTATATATATATATGTTTTCAAAATGTGTTTTCAAAACTATATTATATGTTTTCCAAAACTATTTTTAAAAAAACTATATATTATTTCAAATATGTTTCAAAACTATATATTATATGTTTTCAAAAACGTGTTTTCAAAACCATATTATATATATATTTTCAAAAACAGACTTTTTAAAAAATTATATATTATATGCTTTCAAAAACCGTTTTCTAAAAACTATATATCATATGTTTTTCAAAATATTTTCAAAAACTATACTATATTAATATATATAAGCCCTATACGAAAATGGGTGTCTACAACAATATTATATTTTAAAGAATATATTTTGAGGGTAAATTATTGATGAGAGTATAAAAGTGTTAAGGAATTTATAGGAAGAAAGAATTTGAAAACAATTGCAATCAAATTGGGTAAAATGCAAAGTTAAGAGATTAAATAAAAAAAAAGAGTACATTTTTAGTAAAAAATAAGAATTGAAGTTACATAGATATTCTATAGTGATATAGGAGCATGTGGTTTCAAATTTGGTAAAAATTGGACTTAAAATGAAGGATGAATTGAAGAAATAAAAAACCATGAAAAATTGAGGGATTAAATTGAAAATAAAAAATGTTATCAAAAAGAGGAATTGAAAACATAAGTATTTTATGATGGTTTAGGAGCATGTGGTTTAAAATTGGTTAAAATGGACTTAAAATAAAGGAAGAATTGAAGGAATAAATAAATCAGGGATTAAATCGTAAAACTGTCAAAACAGTCAATCAAATTTTCGATTTTTCGTGTAACTCAAAATTTCCAAATTCCAACTTGACTCAAACTCAAAAATTGAATCGATAATTCAAGTTGACTCAAATAACTCGAAATTAAAAAAAAATCAATTTTTCGAGTATAGTCGAGTTTTACTCACCCAACATGAGTGTTCCATCACATTATTTCTACCATGAGAGATAGAATTGATTTTTATTGAGACATGATATCGACAGTATCCTCTCGAACCAATTCTTCTACCATCCTCTCCTAGTTTGCGTCAGAATCCCTACATGCATTCGTTTCAGCGTACGCCTCTGGTGTTCCCTTGTGACTCGCATCATTGGAAAGTATTAATTTATCAATCTGGGAAGATAAGGATTGAACCCAATTTGATATCAGAGGCACTTTTGGAGGTCTGTATTCTCTATATTTCTTCACTTGTAGACCTTTCCTTGGGCATTTCTTGGCGCTGATTTTATCGATGTTTCCCTTGTAACTTGTGCCTTTCCCTTTGGGATAGACTCTCATGGTTACTACTCTGTGGTTGCCTTTTGCTAGTAGTGGTGTATGTTCCAGGACTTCGATTTTATCATTGGGCATAACTCAGATGGGGTTCATGGTATGTGAGTTCCACGACGATCCTCCTTTACTGAGGCTACCTAACACTACTGAAATTTCAATTAGTTCACCACTAAGGTCAAGGCTATAGTGTTTGGTTCTAGGTGGTGATGAGTAGGGGTTCAAAAATTCTCGGCTCAGTTGACCCGACCTGAACTTAAAAAACTCAGGTAATTCTTTAAAAAATTACCCGACCCTTGATTTTTCTCGAGTAGTTGGGTTAGGTCTGGGCCAAATTTTTTTATAACTGGGTATCTGATCCGGCCGAATAGTATATAATATATATATATATTCTAGTTTAAAATGTGTTTTTATTTTAGGTTCCTTAATATTTTTATCTTAAAACTAAATTTAAATCTTAAAAAAAATTTGCGTTTGTATTATATACTTTTAAGTTTTAATTTTTTTCGAAAAGTTTTTATTAATTTGTGAATATGATAATTGAAGAAAAAAATCACAATCGATATTAATATTTTTAATGTTTTCTTTTGAAATAAACTTTAATATATATATATATATTCAAATATTTATCCTTAGAACTAACTTCAAATCACTATTTTTTGCGTATAGATTACGTGTATTGTGAACTTTTTATATTTTATGTATTCTCTATGTAATTTTTTTTAAAAAAAAATTAATTTAAAATATAAAAAATATATGAATCGGATACTCGTAACCCGAATATACGGATCCCCAAATTTTACGAGTACCCAGACTTAACATACCAGATCACAGGCCGACAAATATACTACCCGAAAAATTAAGTAAGCGGTACTTTGGATTCCTGAAAATGCGGGTACCTGAATTTGAACACTCAATGGGGTTGGTATTTAGTGCAACCTCTTTCCCCTCATGCTATTTATTCTTGGTTGGCTTGCTCCGGTCTTTGATTTGCTAGTTGGTGGTCTAGATTCTTGGTGTGACTTAGGTTCCTGTGCTATCTCAACGAATTTTGAGCTTGAACATTAACCTCAGTTGTCTCTTCCAGATCTTCCAAGACTGAGAATCGAGACTGTTTTACCCTTTGCTTTTCCTTCTTTCTCATAAGACCGTTCAACTAGTCTTTTAGGTCTTCTAGGTTCTGAATTCACCACCATCCATGGGCCAAATAGGTCCTCTTCTTCAGTTTCTTTAAGGAGTACCTTCCCTTGATTGAGTGTTGAAGATGATTTGTCTTGTTGGTTTACTGTATTTGGGTTCTCATCGCATCCATATTTGAGGTGTCCATACACTCCACACTTGAAGTATATTTGATGTAGTCCTTCATATTCCAGTTTATGGACAAAGTCATCGTTGTTGAGGCAGGGAATTAGATTAGGCATTTGTTGAGGTCGACCACAACTGCCAATCTCGCAATCCGGCCTCTTTCTTCAACATTGGTGTTGTAATCAACCTTGATTGCTTTCCCAATGGTGTTGGCTATCGTTTTGAACAGGCTCTTCATATAATATCTGTAGGGTAGTCCTGGTAGCCGAACCCAAGCTATGATCTGCGATGGGAGTTGTTCAGATGTTGAGAATTCTCTATTCCACGATTTTACAGTGAGGTAAGTCGCGTATATCATCCAAGGATCCTCTGTAAGGGCTTTGACATAATCGACTTCTTTTTCGAGTCTGGTCAAGTAATAATCGTTGTCTAGGTCTACCAGTTGTATTTTTCTTTGAGGTTGCCACATAGTTTGTAGAAGGTTCAGCAGTGATCTATATTCGATCTTTTTGCCCAAGAGGCGGATCATCTATCTATGATATCGTGAATTCTGTTCGAAAACCTAATTCTTGGGAAGGAACCACTATTATCTATGGATACGTCAACTTCATGAAAGGTGATCTCTTCCTCGACAAAGTTCCTCGCTTGAGTGTTTTCTTGAGGTCCAACTACCATCGACGCGTAGGATACCTTTGTGTTCTCTGGGGATTTCCCTGCATTATCTTCTCGTGTGATTTCCATTATGACATCGTTATCCTGCATGTGATTTCTCTTATTTTCTTCTTCTGAGTCCATATGTACCATATCATCAAGAAGTCTTCCCTTATCCTGCCGGTTCCTTATTTTCTTGATGGCGCGATGCTCTTTTAGGATTGCCGACGCCAGATTCCTAGGGGGCGGTGGGGTGGTTATCGGTTCTTCTTGGTGTCGAGGGTTTGCTTAACCCTAGCTTCTCCATTTACCCAACAAAATTTGGTATTATGTTTGATTAAAGCATACATAAATCTATATAATTATTTCATTTTACTGTAAGCGAATATTAATATCAAACTATTTCACCATCAACCAATCTGATATTAAATTCTTTAAACAAAGTTAAGGTTCCAACTCTCGTGTTTACGAATGAAACAAATTGGGTTAGAAAGATAGCTCCCGTAATGAACATCTGTAAAACTTGATATGAATTAATCGATTAATAAAGATCAGATACCAGTGATTAGCTAAAAAATCAAACTATTTCTATAGGATTAGTTTCAAGCACGGTTAAGAGCGAATTATTAAAGATTGGCTCATGCTTCTAATGCACTGAATGCCGCAGATCTTCCAATATCTGATCGAGTCAAATAATTTATTTTTGTAATTATCAACTACATTTATATTTATTTTAAAACTAAATTGATGTTTAAACGTAAAAAATATACATAAATAAATAAATCGTTTGATTGAATTGAATTCCGAAGATCCGGTCTGTTCAACGTCCTTTACCTTCCCAAGGAAAACGAAAAACCAGTTTATATTTGGATATAGTTATAATACATGCATGGATTCTAATAAATGCTCTTCCCCAGAAGCCTAAAACTACCATTTCAACCCTATTTCTATGACTCCCTCACCTAACATATACAAATCTATACACAAAACATGTCTTATATCATCTACGCCAACATCTTCTAATCCTTTCTTTACCTTCTTCCTCAAACTCGAATGATGCAACTTCGGAAAACAGCAGTGTAGAGCTGAGCAGCCACTGATTTTCTGACGATCAAGGAAGCAAACGGAGTGAAACAGGAAGATCAGCATATCTGCTATGAGCCTCCAGTCAAGAAACAGTTACTGCTACCAGAACTGCCCATCGGAAAAGGTATATCGCGGACTTGAAACTTCACAGCACGAGTTCCGACATACTCGAGAATTTCCAGACACTCTTGTAGGTCTGATTCGCTAACCAATAGTACCCATTCATCTTCATCGTCCAAGTACTTGAGCTGGAATGTCCCATATTGGATTTTGAACCTTTTGGCAACTTCTTCGTATAGTTGGAAGCACCCAGAAGATGGCTTGAACTTAAAGCGGACAGTATCGTCTTTATAAGTAGCTTTCACCGTAATTTTCGAGCTGCTGTCGGCTGAAATTGTCTTCGGTTTTGTATCCTCTGCCTCCTCAAAACTCTGAGAACTTGATGAACTTCTATGCAACATCGAACCAGAGCCATTTAAGGAGTCTGTCATGCTTGATGTAGGTCGATGGTTATGTTCAGCAATCCTGTCATCTCTCTCCATTCGGATATCTATTTTATCAGCAGAAGCAGAAGCAGTAGCAGCAGCCAAAGAATTTGTGCTATGAGACACAAAGTGGTAGTCAGAATCCTCAACTTTTGGATTCCCCTCATTAAAACCCCACCTGTGACCTACTTGTAAATAAGAGCCATTAGTTACATTTTCTGAACAAGTCTTAGTCGCGGAGCCAAAGCTAGCTGACTGGAACAATCCCGAATCTAGACCAACCGACCTAGAGTCCAAGGTACTTTGAATGAGCACACTCCTTGCAGCATCTCGGTTGTTTACACCAACAGAACACTCATCTTCCTCCAACTTAAACACTGAATTTTCCCCATCAGGGCAAGATGCTAGTGGTGCTGATGATTTCTCTCTATCGGCAGGTTCATGTATTAGAGTGGGAGGGTTATTATTGGAGAATACTAATGCTTTCTGGTTATCAACTTCTTGGATAACGGTGCCTGCTGCAATGAATCCTCCTGTGGCTGGATCAAACTTTAATCCTCCTTCGACCCCTTGCACAGAGTCAAGAACAGTTTGTATCTTTCGTAACGATCGATTCACCTTGCTAATCTTCCGTGAAGGCCATCTCGAGATCCCATGTTGTCTGCATATCCTTTTCAGGGTAGTGGGGCAAACTACAAGGAGCAGGAAATAAAAGGTGAACCACGGATTAAAATATGTGGCATGGGCAAGTGCTCGGAAATAGTGTTCTAATACTTGAGTCGAGTATGTTCCCATGTTCTACCGAAGATTCATTTTTCATTAAGTACATATACTGATGCATATCAGAACATAGGTACAAAGATATCATCTTAGAACAGACACCCGAGTCCAAGTAAGATAGGTAGGTACGTTATTACTAGTATTAATAACTATTTGCTAGAGTACATAGACTCGTGAGCAACTATTTCTAGTTGCATTTATTCGTAATACGCAAGCAACAATTCTGCATTATTTCCTCGATTGAGCCAAAATATATTTCAGTCATAATTTGATTCGAAGAATTTCCTACAGTAAAAACTTATGGTCAAACCTTTTAGACATTATCTTAAGAATCTAGAGATTGCTCAAGAATTATTAATGACTTAAAAAGTTCATACTAAATGAATCATTCAAGAATATAGCTTCATACAGAAAACCTTTTAGGAAGCTTTATGTATATAAAGAGGTTTAGGAATGCAATGTGCAAGAGAATCTATGCTACTCAGGTCAAGTAGGTCGGATATAGGCATGTCCATTTCTTTTTAAAATTTTCCATGTATTTTATGGTCTTCGGACTATACCTGTCCAGACACGCATTGGATACAAATATCATATAGGATTATTCCAAGAAAAATGAAGAGATTGAGTATTGCACGACCGTATACAGTAAATTCAGCAACAAATGTAGGAAATTTCACAGAAACCAGATCATAATGAAAAATATAATAACTTAGAGATGCATATAAACAAATAATCTCAGGGCTTACCACCAATGCTTTTTGCAGCATCCTTCAGACTTCCGGAGAAGTACTGCTGAAGAACACTCAAGCTCACATTTTTTTCCGCTGTATTTCTCTTCTTTTCTATGTGCCTCCGTGGCACAGTCATTGCCTATAAAAATAGGAACTCACATATTACTCAACTGCGTAAGCTTGTCCACCAAGCCGTTCAGACATGAAAAATCAGCACCACTAAAACAAAGTTATGTATTCATACAGACAATCACATAGTTATGTTTACCTATTTCGTTCTTCCAATGGAGTCTCGAATAATATATCTAACAATAAACGTTCACTGATTGTCTAAATGCATTGCTCAAATAAAATTTCCGGAGTTTTTTATATACAAATCAAAGAAGGATCCATTTCATGTGTTTCATAAGTTAAGAACTCAAATCATACATCAAAAGGAAAGAATGCTCAACACAATACCTGTTCAGGAGAGCCATCTGTTTCCTTCCCTTCACTTGTTGGATTAGATACATTCAAGGGAACTCTATGGTTCAAGTTCATTTCAGAATCTGCAGATAATGCTGTTTCCGAGCTCCTGAAAAAAGACATAGGGGGGAAGTTTTGATCTGTTCCAGTCTGAAACTCAACTTTTGATCCTTCCCCAACAATTTCTGCATCTGAAACGGTTCTCAAACTCCGACATATTCGTTGCATGGTACCAGAGAGATTGTTCAGTAAGAGTTGCTGTTCTGAACTCCCTGTCATGTTAACCGGAAGGAAAAACTCTAGTATGTAATCATCGTCCCCGGTGTACGTACTCCTCAGCCTGATTGCAACGGCAGCATTCAGGTTGAACTTACGCGCATGATGGACAAGTGGATAATCATTTATGTTGTATGTTTTCACATCGGCAGAGAAGAACGGATGATTTGACTGAAGTGCTTTTCCAGCTATACCTTGACCTTCTTCGAGATAATGCTCAACACAAGCATGTACAAAATCTTGCATCTCTTTGTAATTAACATAACAGGCTGTATCTTCAATGCATAACACACACTTACCATCCTGAGCCATATTACCCTCTCGAACTCGTACTTTTATAATTTCATCCGTAACTTCCTCGGTGTAATTACAAGGAATCCATGTTAGAGCCAAAGGCAATCTATGAGCATGACATACAGCACGTAATACATCAGTTATTTCAGCTAAAGCCGCTCTCTGATTCCTGGAGAGGCACTGCAGAAAAAAGAAATGTAAGAAGAGGGCTTAGAGAAAAGGTACCGTACTTGTGTGTGTGTGTGTACAATTCAACATTAAAGACCATTTCAGAACAGCCGAAATGAAATACAAACGAACTTTTAATTCACCTGGGGAAGAAGTCGAGGAGGAGCAGTAGTCCTTAGATTCACAGCCTGCAAATAATACAGATGAAGGCAAATTTAATAAAATCAGCCATAACATTTGTAGCAAAATCACTTGGTATACAACAATAGCATGGCACCATAGAGCTAAAAATTTCCATTTTGAATTTCAGATGCTAGGCTATAAATTTATCTTCTATTTGACATAGTTAAGCCAAATAGTTCTTTTGGCCAAAGTAAAAATACAAAAATTTCCCTTTTTAGAACCAACGTGCATGATATTGCATCTGTAAATAGGTAAAAAAAATTTACTGCATGTCATGGTTACAAGGTTCATATTACATTACTTTAAGCTAGCAAAATTAAAATGTGTCTACTATTATTACATTAGATATTGCATTTATTTTCATGTATTACCTGGAAATTTGGGTGTCTGTGTCGTGCTCGTGGTCATATATTTTGCTTTCTATTACAGCAGAGTGGATGCAAAATATTACTACTAAATAGTAGCTCAACCGGCATCTTCAGGGCACAAGTTAGAGAGAGTATTTGTTATAAGCTATAAAGAGAGCTAGGTTCTTTGAAAAGCTATGTTACATTGTTAAACCATGTTTTATAATATTTTGATATAACAAATTAAGGTAAAATGTTTTTGGACTTTTTTTTTTATAGAATATTAGGCCTCATTAAAAACCCTCATCTTACCCTCCATATTACTATAGTAACATGAAGGACAATGGAAGAGGGAAAAGAGTGCCTATTACTTTTATTTTTTTTTATAGAAGTTGGAGGTCTCATTAAAAACTCCCTTCGTATTCGTTCACATACTAAAGGTATGTTAACGAACATTGGAAGGAAGAAAAGAGTACCTCAAATATTATTGATAAAATACCCGATACAAAAGATACCACGGAATATCCTCTCATGGTGATGTACACCATTACAACAAACACCTTAACCTCATATGACCTCATCCAAAGCCACAGTCAAATCACCTTACTTCTAATTACACCACCAGCAGTAGGAATAAAACAGAACATAATACAAATTAAAAGCAACACCTACAATCATATAGACTAAAACAACCACAATTGAAGAGACAAGATCTAATGAGACTCGTCTTCTTCAGGAGCCCAAGAGTTTGGTTTGAATGAAGGTTCTATCTCATGCACTATGACCTTGAAGAAGTTGTCAGCAACCTTCAATTCCACCATCGCATCAATTCTCGCATCAGCCTTTGTGAGGACTTGAATTTTACCCGATCAAAGGATGATGGAGACTGACAACTTTCGTCGATAGCTAGTAATAAACCCCACTTATCAGCAATGTTCTTGAAAGTATCACAATTCCATGCGTGAAAAGGAACACCCTCGCAAACTAACCATACTCGACGACACTTCATTACCAAACTCTCTGACCAAGCTTCGACTATGGAGAACCACTCTGCGAGAATCTTTGATTTATCGTTCTTCACGCTTCTCAATGAAGCATTGTCTTCGAAAATCATTAAAATCGCATTACCAGCAGCTCTCATTAAGGTGAAGCCAATGAGGCCCTTCGCTTGCATTTGTCTGGCGAGATGACCAATTTTGACAAAGTCCTTGCACCACCCCACTAGAGTGCCTATTACTTTTATTAATCAGGAGAATAATACACTGCCATCCCTTACAACAACTTTAAAACCCTTAACACTAATTACATAAGACTTAAACACCTCATCCTGTTGAAACCTCAACACTGATTACATAAGACTGAAAACAAAGCCTAACAATCATCCTATACCATCTTTAGCTAATCTGTCCGCTTCCCAGTTAGCAGCCCTCAAGATAAGCCTTAACGTAATATCTTTCCCTTCCATTATAGAGACGATCTCCTTCACTAAGGATAGAAACATAGGGGTGCTTAATTCCGGATTCTTGATCCACTTCAAAGCATTACTTGAGTCCGATTCTAAAATAATCCTCTTATTAAGACCAACACCTGAATCAGTCAACATGCACAACCTCCTCTTTATCGCCAATAATTATGCCATAATCGGAGGTCCCCCAACCTTATCAGAAAACCAGTGGATCAACACACCACTGCTGTCCCTTATGAGTCCACTTATACCACCTTTATTCCATCCATTCACCATCGCCCCATCAACATTAATCTTTATGAACCCATCTGGAGGAGGAACCCAACAAGTTGGTTGGGATCTACTTTTTTTCTGACTACCAACCGAATCAGCAAGAGTTAAGTCACCCACTAGGGAATCGAATGGGATCTGCACAGCGTCAAAACTAGTAGCAACCCAAGAGACTATTCTAAATCGAGCAATAAAGAACATCCTCACAACATCCAGCTTTCCTTTCATAAAAATAACCTCATTCCTACATTTCCATACCGTCCACAATACCGCCCTTGGGATAAATTTCCAAATACTGGAATTCGGTAGTAGATCATCCCACATAATAATAAAGTCTAAGATGTTATTTGGAATCACCAAAGAAACATTCCACAAATCCAAAAATCTAACCCACAAACCCCAAACTACCTCACAGTGCAGAAAAAGATGAGAAACAGATTCCACAAACCTGCCACACAACGAACATAAGGGGTCTTCAATCCTAGCACACCTCGCTTCAACAATTCCTCTTTAACAACCACTCTCTGATGAGCAACTTGCCATATGAAAGTTTCAACACGTGGAGGTGCTATCCCGGCCCAAATATATTTTTCCCACGTAGCCTGATTCCCCTGAATACCAACCGTATCAAAAAAATTATTAATACAAGACTTAATTGAAAAACAAACCTCTCCATTCCCTAACCAAATCCAGCAATCTTCCTCATCGAGAGACATTGAGATGTTGTTCAACATAGAAATCAGCTGCAGCCATTGTTCAATCAATCCACCAGATTTCTTCTCATTTGAATATCCCACACCCAGCCTGCAACATTTTTCACCCTAAACTCCACCACTTTACCCACTTTATTATTCGAAAGTGCATACAATCTAAGGAACATATCTTTGAGGGGACTTCTCCCAACCAAACATCATGCCAAAACTCCACAGAATGACCGTTTCCAGGTTTCAAACGCAAATTTCTCCTAATACAATCTCCAAACTTATCATTAGAAAAGAAATTATTAATCACTCCTCTCCAAATCCAAGAGGCACGAGCTGTCGAAGTATTCCCCAACATTTTGGAATTCAGGCCCAAATTGTTCACACAACAAACCACCCTCTTCCACCAAGAATCCTTTTCAGAGGCAAACTTCCATACCCACTTACCCATCAGTGCTCTGTTTAGAATAGCTAAATTCGGGATCCCTAGACCCCCTAACCTTCTCGGCTTACTGACCAATTTTCAGTTCACCTAATGTATTTTCTTCTATCTGTCGAACCCCCCCATAAAAATGCAGACATGATCGAATTTAATTTCTTCAACACGGTTTCTGGAATTCTAAAGATAGAAAGGAAATAAGTGAGAAGAGAACACAACACAGCTTTAACCAACACCACCCTTCCTGCTAACACTAGAGAGTTTGCCTTCCAAATAGTCAACTTATTATGAAATCTCTTCACGATTGGCTCCCACATTGCAACAGAAATTCTCTTGGACCCCAAAGGCAAGCCTAGATACTCTGCTGAAAAATTACCCACTGAGCAGCCAATTTTATTAGACCAATCAGCTAGCACCTCCTCCTCAACATTAATTCCAAAAATTCTGTTCTTAACTAAATTAATCTTCAGCCCCACCAATAACTCATAAATCAATAACACCCTTCTAATTTCTTCAAATCCCGAATTGAAGCTTTGGAAAAAATAATAAGGTCATCCCAAACTGCAAATGCGATAGCTTGAAAGAACGTTCTTGAACTCCTAACTCGAAACCCGAAAACAATCCCATATCCACTGCTTTAGTTAACAACAAATGAAACAATTCACCACCCAAATTAAATAACAAAGGGGATAGCGAGCAACCACGTCTAAGTCCTCTTTCAGTTTGAATTTTGTCTGTAGGAGTCCCATTTAGTAAAACCGAAATAGAAGCCGTTGACATACACTGATACATCCAAGAACACCATTTTTCAGCAAACCCCATTTTACCCATTATTTTAAACAAAACCAACTAATCCACCGAATCATAGGCTCTCTTGAAATCCACCTTAAAGACTACCCCCTCCAACCCTTTCTTCCTCCAAAAATCAATTCCTTCATTTGTTATAAACGAGCAGTCCAATATATTCTTTCCTTGAATAAACTCAAATTGAGATGGACTAATTATCTCATTAATGCACAAACTGAATCTTCTAGCTAGGACCTTTGACAAAATTTTATATAATCCTCCCACAAGGCTAATAGGCCTAAAATAATCCATCCCCTCCGGATTATCCTTCTTAGGAATAAGGGAAATAAAGTAATGATTCACCTCCAAGTCCCACTCTTTCCCCACATAAAAGTCCTTAAAAACAGCATAATATCCTCTTTCAAAGAAGACCATAATTTCTTAAAAAAACCTAAATTCAGACTATCCGGGCCAGGAGCTTTGTTGCTATCCGAGTTAGCAATTGCTTCCCAAACTTCCTCTTCCGAAAATGGCTTCTCAAGTGCTAAACTCTTTCCGACCGATAATTTTAGAAAATCCAGATCTAATTCCTCAGCCTCCAAAGGATTATTCTGCCTAAACAGACCATTAAAAAACTCCACCACTGAAGCTCTAATTAAGGTAGGATCTTCTATGACTTCATTACCCACTTTGAGGGACTTAATGCCATTTTCCTTCCTCTAACTACAGCACTATGATGAAAAAATCTGGTGTTCTTATCTCCCTCCATTCTCCATTTCATTCTTGATTTTTGCAACCAAATCAATTCTTCTTTCTTTTGTAGCTCCCATAATTCTTTCTCTGCTTCAATTATTGATTTCATTGACACCGAAGGAAGGCATTGTTGCATTTCCAATTCCATATTCTGAATTCCTTTCTCCAATAATCTGATTTTTCCTGGAAGCTCTAAATAACCCCTCCCAGACCATTTCTTTACCACATCCTTCACCCGCTTTAGCACCTTAGACATGGACTTCCCCTTTTCCTCTTTACAAAGTTTAACCAGCTCCTTTTCCATCATCTCACTAAACCCATCCTCCTCCAGTACATAGTTAAACAGTCTGAACGGTTTCAGCCCCCAATTACATTCTTTGTTCTCCAACAAAATAATATTGTGATCTAAAACAGACCTTGACTGCAATGATTGACTTATCTTTGGAAAACAAGTTAATAATCTCTGATCAACCAAAAAACGATCCAACCTCTGAACCGTTGGAACTTCCCTATTATTACACTATGTAAAACGACCTCCAGACAATGGCAAATCAAACAAATTGGCTTTACTCACAAAGTCTCTAAAAATATTCATTGACACCGAATTCACAGCTCCTCCTTCTTTCTCTTCCTGTGACAACACTGCATTGAAATCACCTCCTAAGCATAATGGACAATCAACATTATCCAAAAATGATAATAACTCCCTGAAAAACATCTCTTTATCTGCATCCACACTAGGGCCATACACATTAATAAAACAACAACTTCCTGGTACTCCTTCCAAAGTCCCTTTTATTACTACAAATCTACTATTAATGACTACATCCTTCACCACAAACTCCTTCTGATTCCACAAGGTTATTAAACCACCAGTAGAACCTATAGCAGGAGATACTGCCGAACCAGTAAGTAATTTTCCCCCCATTTTCCTCACCAACATATGACTAACAACCTCCAATTTTGATTCTGCAAAAATACAATTGTAGGTTTTTTCTCATCAACAAATCTCCTAATAGCTCGAGCTTTCACCCTTCTACCCAAACCTCTAACATTCCAAGACAACATCGACCACCCAACCATCATTAACATACTATAACCTTACTTCCCAGTTACAACTACCTTCCCTCTTTCGAGTTCCTTTCATTAACCAGAGGAACCATTTTGTCCATAAAAGCTTTCTCTCCTCCTTTGAACTTCACACCCAACTTGGAAACATTCCAACATTCCAATGCCTCTGCTGCCCCCTCTATCTCATTCACTGCAAAGAAATCAGACTCCTTACCATTGCAACTCTTAACTTCCTACCTCCTGGAATACACATTCTTATAGAAACCTCTCTCGATTTTACTTACTAACGCACATTTCCCAGAATGACGACGCATCACCGGTGAGACAGACCCGTTCTGCAAATTTAAAACAACTTCTCCAACATTAGTTACTTCTATAGAATTAATGCCAACAGTATTTGATCTTAAATTCCCTTGAATAGGCCCATTAGTTAGACTCCTATCCATGCTGGTACTAAGCCCATTTTCTTGAGCAATCGTATCATGGCCCGATATGATATCTCCCATGCTCCTCTCTTTTTCTCTCCCTTCATTAAAATCCTCTGACACTTCCTGTTGACTGGGAACACCACCTACTGCTGTCTCCTCAGAACAAAAGTCAACAACCAAAATATTTTTTGAGCCTAGTTTTCCTTTCAAATTTCCATCGATAAACGTACCATCTCCTTGTTGAGCACCCCGAACCCATGCTTCAACCCTGTCCTGAGATTCTGACAAGGACTACTGCCCCAGTTGCTCTTCCTGTCCTTCCTGAACGTCCCGCTGGCTCCAGTCCTACGAGTTCTCCTCCCATGGGTCCACTGTTCTGTCTTCTTCAACCACATCATCCAAGACCGAAAAAAAATCATCACTCCCTTCCACCTTAATTTTAATGATAAACGATCTTCCATGCGTATTGACAGAGACATGAGAAGGAATATCAAAAGGACTCTCCACCCTCAACAGCATGTGTGCCACTCTACAGCCCATTTTCTGAATTGTTTGCTCCTGGATCTTCACTAGCTTGCCCCATCTCGATGCCTTAATGAAACACCAAACTACGCAATAGGCTAATGGAACACAATTCTCATCCACAACAGATTCCAACCTTTCGAACCAGAAGGACAATGCCTCCCACTTATCTTCCATCGTTGCTTCTTTCTCCTCCACTGTGGAAGACTATCAAACATGCATTTTTTGCATATCCCAACCTTACCGCCTTGACATTGAATCCCTCAGTCCTTAATGCCCTCTGCACAAATTCTACTTCAAAAATCCCCTTACAAATTCCTGTTAAAGACGACCTCAGCCATATCCTCTCCTCCATTGGAATAAACACTTGCAGAGACTTTTTCACCTCCCTCTTATCTCCAACGTTACTCATCTGCTGGCCATCAACTTTTTTCACCCCCATTACTGTATCCTTATATGTCCTACCAACATGAAACTTGTTTAACAGCTCCTTCTTCCCTACATCATCCACTATGGGTATTGGTCCTTTCCCTTTGGACTCCTCTGCACCTGTATCTCTTGACCCCACCACCATATTTCGCTTCAAGTTCCTCGCAGCACTATTCCTCTGATATTTTGCAATTGACACCATTATCCTCCTCCCATTGATCACTACGTTATTCATACGTTCCATTGCCTTCAGCAAATCCTCCTTGCTTGCAAAATGCACAAAGGCAAACGTACTGACCTTATAGTTAGGTCTCCTATTAACAAACGGGATAAACACCTTAATCACCTTGCCATGAAAACTAAAACGTTTCCATAAAGTACTTCTATGCACTCCCCTACTAGATTATCTACGAACGCTACCCACGAAACTCCTCTAGGCACCGCTCTACCTTTGTCTAAAGAAGTATTCCCTTCGAACTCCACGTTCACTCTCTCTCTAGCTTTCTCACTCATGGTTATAAAATGTTTTTGGACTTGATAGTGTTCAAAAATAATTCAATTAAACTAGAATTTGAACGCAAAATAGTTTTTCTGGACAAGTAGTACTGATATTGTTCTTCAGTATCGATACTACATGAACAGTATCAATATTGTTCATGTGGTACCGATACCAAAGGTAAGAGAAGTATCGATACTCTCTTGGTAGTATCAATACTACCAATTGTTTTTCAAATTGTCAAAATTCCAGAATGCAAAATTAATACCGATACTCAAGGGGTACCGATACTACTATGCATAGTGGTATTGATAACATGAACTATAGTATTGATAATGTTTAAGCCCAACGTTCTTTAACTACTAGTTTATTTAAATATTTCAAAGATAGTACCGATACTCATTAAAAGAGAACCGATACTCCCTGTTCTGGACAGTTTTATTTTTACAAAAAATTCATCCCAACTCCTCCAAAACACCCCAAACGGCTACAAGCTCATTCAAACATATAAAAACAAGTCGATACACTTGAAGAAGATTACGACACCTATCAAGCAATAAAGATCAAGAGAAACTCTTTCACTCTTTATTTTCCCTTTTCTCTTGTACATAAGTGTTTTGAGCTTATTGTAAATCATTATTTTTTTTCTTGTGAGCTTAAATTTTGTAAACATCTACCTTGTGATATTTTTTTTATTTACATCTTTTATCCTTTTGTAAAAATGGGAGTGGTCCTATCTTAGTCTTTGAAAAGATGAGGTTCTGTAAAGATTACTCTTGAGCCTAGGAAAAGAAAGAACAAATTAGTGAATTTGTTAGAAAATTCTTAATGTGGAGCTAAGGTGGTGGATTTAGAGTTAATTTAGAAGTAGAATCACTATAAATTCTTGTGCAAATTGTCTATCTCTTTTTACTCCATACCCAAAATTTTCAAAAGGCTAATTCACTCCCTCTTGGCATTTTTCGGTTGACAAATTGAGCTTCAACAATCCTAACATACTTGATTGGGATAAGTGTTAGATAAGGATGATTGAGATTTGCAATCCAGCAACTTTTCATCAAATCCTACATTGAGTTCTTCATCTACGAAAATTGTGTCCGATATATACTTGGGCATGAATATCGGTTATAAGCTACAAACATAGCTAGGTTCTTTGGGAAACTATGTTACTCGGACTCGGGATAAATGTTGATACATATAATTGGACTTTTCCTTCCAACAACTTCTCAAATATTACGTTGGGTTCTTCATTTCTGACATTTGCGTCCGACATATACTCGGACATGAGTATGAAGTTATAGTCCTCCAAATATATTATAAAACTTTGAAAGAAAATATGATCATAAGCATGTCAGGCACATTCCCAGATCCAACATTCATCCCAAGGCTAATTAACATAGCTTTAATCATAGACCAAGCTCCAGAGTTTCCATTCAAAAACTTGTTAGTATATCAGAAAATGATATGAACTTCCACAAACGAAGAGTTTCCAGCAGAAAATGCATTATTTTCCAGTAGTAAAAGATGTACCAACATATAATATACCGTTGCAAAAACTGAAGATATAAAGAGATCTAGAATGGAAGAAACAACTCTAGCAGATTGTTAGCCCGTAAGTTTTTACCTCATCGAGACGATAATCTTCTTCACATCATCCATTGAAAAGGAGTTTATAATTTTAAACAAAGCTAATATGGTAGCCAAGGCAGTGATAGAGATATGTTTCTAAGTTACAGAGGTTCAGACCCTGAAATGCAAACTCTACAATTACAGAAACAGAAATATACTAACCTGGAGTGCAAGGCTGACATTTCCCATTTCTGAATCAAAATTGTGCTTTTCTTTCATAGTGACAAGTTCCAAAACAGCACAACAAGACATCTCAGAAGGTTCGAAAATTGGTAAGGCAATAGAACCACGGACTTCGTGCTTGATTGCGTGTGTAAACCGCAAGTACTCGACCTTACTGTAATGGATTACATTAGAAGTCCACTCGGGAACTCGAGAGATAAAAACACGACCAGGAAGCCCAGGGAAAGAACCCGGTTTCAGTTCTGCAGAGAAGATATATGTTCTCGAGATTTCGCGATAACCAGAAAGCATCTGGTCTAGCAAATATGGCTGATCCGAAGTGGTCAACATATATTGATCTCCATGCTTAATTGGAACCCAAACTTGTGCCAAAATGCCCCCTCCAGATGACTCCTTAAACAAGGACAGTGCTTCAAGCATCCTCTCCTCAAGTGATCGTCCAATTGGCCTAGAAACCGACAAATTAGCCAAATCCGAAGAATTATTTTGCCTATTGCCACCATTATTTCGTCTAATACTGACTTCTGCATCTGCAGAATCCCATGGATTACCAAAGTGTGCATCTGTTTGATGGAACACCATTGTATCAGCAGAAGTATAAGAACTACCCATGTCACTTAATGCATCACCGGCTTCAACAAAGGTACCGGAACTTTGTCCAGTAATATGTAACGAGTTGAAAGACGCATAAGGCAAGGGTGGATAGGAGGACAAACCAAAGGAGGCAAACGTTTGATCTACAGCTGCGGGGTTATTACACAATCCGGCATAAGTATCAAAGTTCATGAGCTCAGAAAAGCTGAAAGGATCCTCGGAAACCGAATTCCGATTACCATCACCAAACTGTTCACCACCCTCCATCTGAGCTCTCGGCGGAATCCAACAACCATGAGAAAAGGGGAACTCCATTTTTTCTCATAAAATTGAAAACCCAAACCAAACTAACTTCAAATTATGAATCAGCAAATGCTAGAGATCTATGAAAAATCTTTCACTCAGCCTAACACTTCCATTCCTAAAATCTTCCCCAATATTCTTCCCAAAACTCGGGAATTTCCTCAACAAATTCATCTATTTTCCTACCTTTCTTAAACACGAAATTCAAAATTGCCAAAATGAGATTTACCCGAAGCCAAACTTCCCCTAACCTGAAGATACCCACAAAGAAAAATCAAACTTCACCACTATGCTATACACATATTGGCTTACACACACACATACATGTAATATAAACCAACAAAAAGAAACAAATTTCCAATGACAAATAACTGCACAGATATCTCACATCTTAAGCTAATTTATCGAAATATATTTTCTAAAAATAGTAGTGGAAAGCTCAAGAAGAACTGACCTCAGGCACAGAGAGCAAAAAGGAAGATGACAAGTGAAATTTCAGTCTCCAAAGCCGCCGCAAATCACTGCAAGAAAAGTCCACTGCTTTCAATTAGTATTAGCTCACAAAACTCACCTCGGATTCATCCAGTTCTACATTATATATATAATCGTAATGAAAACCCCCAACAAATGAAATGAAAATTTAGGTGAAATGAAACCAAATATCAAATTCAAGACTAAGTGAACTATTCCCAATCAAAATGAAATACTTTCACTAAAATATTATATAACAAAGTAAGATAAGAAATTCCCAAAATTAGCAATAATTTTCCGTTTTCGTTTTTATTAATTCAAATGAAATTCAACTGAAATGAAATTCCAAATACTATAAGGGAAAAAAATCTAAATTATCCCAAAATATAAAATTTGAAGCTCCATGAAACTCTATATATATTAAACGAAACCCAGAAATTTAGAGGGAGGAGGAGGAAGTTACTATAAAAGGAAATCTTAGGGTACAGCGGATTTTTATGTTCAGAAACTTACTAAAATTGGAAGTTTGTTTGGTTTGGTTTGGTGTTTCTTGTTGGAGCTGAATTTAAGACTTGTTAAAGTTTTTAGAACCTGCATCATGACTGATGGATTAAAAAATGATGAATTAATGAATATTTAATTTCTAAATTTTAATATTACCATAGGATTTCAAAACAATGATATTTCTAACAGCTTAATCTGAATTTTTCAATTTTTACTTTTTCAAAAAAAAATTAATATGTTTGACTTCAGCTCATCATATTCAATAAATCCTCCATTTAAGTACTCAAGGGGTTGAGCTTTGGAATTATTGTTTGATGTAAAATGATTTAAAAAACCAAATCTGTATTATTATAATATTTCTAGTCATTTGATGCCATTGAGTCCATTCTAGGGATGGACATGATACTCGAATATGACAAATTTTTATTCTATTTAATTTTATTAGATCCATCTTTTTTAAAAAAAGTTGAGTCTAGATCAAGTTGAGTATTTTAGATTATGGGTTCGGGATTTGATGCGGGTTTAAGATGAATAATTTTGACTTGATCTGATCAAAAAATAATATAATTATATTTTATATATTTAGAGATAATTACAATAACATCCCTCTCTATATTATTTTTTAATTAAATATATATTTTATCAAATAAAATTAATTAATTATAAAGATATATACTTGTATCATGTCAGGTCGGGTGCGGGTGCAGGTGCGAGTGCAGGTTTTATTTCAAAAGATGAGTCAGGTTTTGGATCTGATAAAATCACTCTAATCTTGAGTCAAGTCAATTTTTCGAGTAAAAGATGTAATTTTATTGTATCAAATCAGATTAGTCAAAAACTAGGCTCAATCCAACCTATACCCATCTAGTCCATACATAGTCTTATTCAAAAATTATCCATGATTATAATGTGGTTAAAATACATGGGTAGTCCTAAACTTTTAGAGCATTTAAATTTCAGTCACCAAACTTTTAAATTTTGCATTAAAATTATTAAATTTTTAATTTTGATATTATTGTTAGTTATCTGATGTATCATGTGTGTAATTTTCTTTAATAAACTAATATTATCTAATAAAATAATGACACAACGTGATTTCGTTGATGGGAAATTAAAAAAAAATATGCATGACTTTGGTGCAGATCAAACCAAGAACTTTGCAAGGGAATCATTGTGCACAAAGCAGAGAAATTTATGATAAGGTCTTACAAGTCATATACTAAGTATAAGATGCTTCTTACGATAATATCCCTATGACAATAATAAATATGCATGCATTTTAGTGAAATGGTAGTTTAATTATTTAAAACATTAAAACATTTCCTAATTTAAAATCATGTTCAGAAATACAATAATCATAGATCGTACCAAAAATATATTGTAAATTAGAAATTCAATCAATGATATAAATAAATCATATATCATGCCATTAAAATATCAATATCATCAAAAGTCTAGAGCAATTCAGATAAATAAATTAAAACAACAATGTAACACCATCAAGAACACACTTGTAGCGGTCTGAGATGACTGATAGAGTAACCTATTGATGGATTTGTCTATCACGATCTAAGGCAATGCTACATTCTACGAATCAGAAGAAATTTATTACTATCATAACATAATATATTATAAACTTCACTCAAACAATTTACGGATACATATGAGAAACTCTTGAAGTGCGCGAGTCGTGTTGATCTACAGGTCTGAAAGTACCGAACCTAATCGTCCCTCTATTTAGAAAAACATGAGTACCTCCATAAAAAATATATTCTTAGATAAATTCCTTATTCCAATCTTATAAATCAAATTAAAGTTCTAAGTTTAAAAAATGTATTTTTAGGTTAATGAGCTTGTTTCAGGGCTTGTTTCAGGGCTTTCATGTTAGAATTTAGCAAAATAGACTGCAAAATCAAATTTAGGATGTCGAAAAATGTCGGGATAAGATTTTTCAAAAAACAATTCAACGTTGGTGAATAATTGATCAACGGTTAACAGTTGGCTCTGCTTGGGGACCGATTCAGTTCGATTCAGTTGGACCAGTTTAGTTGAATCGATTGGATCAAGCCATTGGGTTTAGGCCAGACAGGTATGGGTCAGGTTGACCTGGTTCTAAAAGTCTCCCTAGACGGTTGAGAAGGCCCACACGTAGGGACGACACGTGCAACCGTTATAGTGGTCAGAATAATTTGAAAAAAAAATCTAAAATGATCACTTACCAAGTTCGGCCAACGAGGGTAAACGGCAGAGAACTCGTTTTCGTAATGACAAAAAAACAATTTCACCCCTTCACATACCGATGACGGTAACAAAACCAAGGACACCAATCAAATTAGAACAAACCAAGAACCTAATGGTATTGGCGTTGTCAACTAACGACGATGAAACGAAGGTTGAAGATTTCTTGGAGAAAATTTTCTTAAAGTGGGGAGAGAGAGAGAGAGAGAGGGGAAGGGGAGAGAGGGAGAGAAAGCAGGTCCATGTTTTATCAATGGTTTGAAATTCAAAATGTGAAGTATAACATCACTTTCAATTCTCATTATCTACAAGGTCACTAACCAAAATAAGCGTCATCAATGAAAAAGGAGTTTGGACACCACTGCGTGAGAGAAGCAATATGTTCAACCCAATCATCATCCTATAGAACCACCATTCACCACAAACCATATCAATTTTAAAAATAATTCATCTCATATATGACTTAGAGCCCTCCACAAAGACGAGCAAGATGACCTCATAAGGGACATGTATCCATTATCCTATACTTGTGTCTGAGGACTAGATTCACGATCACAATGGAAACAAGCTTGAACATAAAAACAACATTATGATATTTTTGTTTTTAATACACAGGAGATAGGCTAACATAAAACATCCCAATTAACCAACGATCCCCCCCCCCCGAAATCAAAGTGGAAAAATCCGAGCATGAATGATAGTTATTTGCAAATTTGAATTCATGAGAGGGCACCTTTTGCTAGCGTTGAACAGACGCGTGGATCATCTATTAAATTTTTGTTAAGCCTTATCGATTAAGAGTTACAAGTAATCGAATTCATTGAATCATTTCAGTGGTTAAAAAAGTTTTATTTTTCCTTAAGGTATTGAATTCGAGCAATTGTGTCTGCGTGACAATTTAAAAAAAGTTACAAGTTACCCTTTTATGAAAGACCAATATGCTAAGACATTTTTATGAAAGACCAATATGCTAAGACATTTTCCAAGATCATCAACCTGTTGAAAGCCTAGCTTATAGCATATCATATGTATAATGTTAGAGTATCTGATAGGATGATACGTGAAAAAAATATGCGAGATAAGAATACCATTTCTCCCAAAGGCAATCAATAGTCTTATCGATAATATGATCGAGGTATCTTATTGCCAAAACAAATAGATGCGGTGATAGAGGGGCACAATTAGCCCAGTATGGTAGTGTTAAAAAGAGTTGGGCTTATAGGACAATTTAAAATTTAATTTAAGATCTATAATATTTTTGTAGTGTAGGGGAAATACGTCATGTTCTCTTGACGAATTCTCCTGAATATTATTTTTTAACGGGTTTGGTCACGTGAGGTTCATGTCCCTAACGTTTATAATATTTTTTATAAAATTTATCACGTCCTCTTGATGAGTTATGTGGCCTTAACTTATAAAATTTATTTATTTTAACTGTTGTGTTTAAAATATTATTTTTTTAAAATTTTAAAAGGTATTCGATATGACGAGTTCCAACGAACATAATGATATTTTATTTATATTTTTATAAATAGAAAGTGGTTGTTTATGTGTTTATAGCATAAGAGTAAAAATAGATAGATACAGTGTTGAGATTTAGAAAGTACGTCCATGAGACAAAATTACGTATGAGTTGCGGAATGGTGTGTATGAATTATACAATTCTAATTGTTTAGATGATTGAAGCTCATCTTCAGATAATGAATTGATATACAACTCACCTATTTTGAATCATTGAAATAAAATGAAATTGAAGTTAAATTAGAGATTAAATTATATTAATGGTTAAATTGTAAAATATAATTTAAATGTAATTAATGGTTAGAAATTCTATTAGTTATGAATATTAATTTAACCTTTAAATTATATTTTAAATATTAAATAATTGAGCCTGTTAATTTTATTTAAATTATATTTTAAAATTTAACCTCTAATTCAACCTATTTATTGCATTTAAAATATATTTTAAATATTAAATTTCAATTTTTGACAGCTTTTAAATTTAACCTCTAAATTTTCCAAATTTTATCATTTGAACCCTATAAATCCAAAAGTCATATTATCATAATTACCAATCATATAAGGACTAAAATCTACTAGATTTATTTCTTGGTAACTTTTGGGGAAACATTATCAAATTTAGTCCCTAAACCCCTCATACTTTATATTCTTTATAATTTAGTCTTTAACATTGATTTTTTCTAATAATAGATTTGATTTTTGATAAACATCATTAATTTTTTTTTCTAATAATAGATTTGATATTTGATGTATTAAAATATCATATTTATTATTATTTTTATATAAATCTAGGATGTACAAAATAGTATTTGTTCAAAATTTTAATATCAAATTAAAGTAGAATATAACATATTTTTTTTATGATGTTACGATTAACATCATCAATATAATCTTGATTACAATAAAATAATTAATGCAGCATCTTCTCTCCATTCCATCATATAACAAAAAGCTCAAAATGCATCAAAACTTGAGCTTTGAACATATTCTTAAATTAGTAGCAATTTTACCCAACATTATATATACTTAACATTGGTTAACGAGTATTTTTTATTTTTATTTTTCTTTTAAATAAACTTTGGATACATAAAAAGTTTTTGGATCACAAAAAATTTATTACTAATTAAATCAAATAAAGCCTAAAACCATGCTAAAATCACATGCATTCGCGTTCCTTGCTACCAACGTAATTTTCTCACAGACAACATAACGTAGAAGAATGCTTAAAATGCCTTATTGCATGTGAATAGCCACATTTACTTCACTGTTACGATGCCTAATACAAGGGATCGAATTTCTATAAAGTTAAAGAAAAATATTTTTTCCCAAATTGATCCGACTCGACACTGTTGGGCGAAGACGTGTGGCAAGTCCAAAAAATGGGCTCTATATAAGCTTTACCCCTTACTGTGAGCTATACAAGCTTGGTTAGGGTTTATGCTTTAAAGTGAGAGCTACAAGGGAGAAAATGAGAAGAGAGAGGCTCGGGTTCGTTTACCCTTTTTTTGCTCTTGCAGTGCTGAGTTTGTGGTGCACCACATATGTCGTCCACGTCGAGGCGGCATCGTCGCTGCAGAAGCCGGTGAAGCTGGTTTGGCATTACTATAAGGTGCATAATACATGTGATGATGCAGAGGCTTATATTAGGCACCAGGTGGAGTTGTTTTATAAGAGGGATAAAACTATTGCACCTAAGCTTCTTCGGTTGCATTATTCGGATTGTTTTGTAAATGTATGTAGTCTCTTCATTGTTTTCCAATGTTTTCTTTGTTCTTTTGATACTTAGCATGGCATGGAAAATCATTTTGTTGTTCGAAATTGTTAGGGGTGCGATGCTTCAATCCTCTTAGATGGGGCGGATTCAGAGAAGATGGCACCACAGAACCGTGGACTGGGAGGGTTCGCTCTTGTCGACAAGATCAAGACGGTGCTTGAATCTCGATGCCCCGGTGTCGTCTCCTGCGCTGACATTCTTAGCCTCGCCACCAGAGACGCTGTTCATTTGGTATCGATTAAACAAAAGCACCATCTTATATTATACCGTATTTATGTATTTTACGTGTCGTAGTATTTCAAATGTCACATTCATATAAATTTCCGACATTATTTTGTTGGTATCAACAGGCAGGAGCGCCTTCTTATCCAGTATTCACTGGGCGAAGGGATGGGCTGAAATCGACTAAAGCTTCCGTGGATCTCCCTTCACCATCCATCTCATGGGAAGCTTCTCTCGCTTATTTCAAATCAAAAGGCTTGGATGTGTTGGACATGACTACACTATTAGGTAAATACAAGAAGTACAAATATGAATAACATGGATACACGTAGCGATGGTCAAGGGGAGATGATCAGCTAGAATAGTTGTTCACCATTAAAAAAAATTTAATTTCTGTATATTTTAGATATTTCTTTGTATTTTTTATTGAAAAAATATTTTCGTCCCCTAAAATTTTCTAAAATTAGCTCTTCATTATATTTTTATAAATATGCCCCCTCTAACATAAGATAATGTGTTTGTCCCTGTATACATGAATTCGTTATTAAGCGTAGATACATATTCAAGCTCGATAGGTTTTGACCTTATTGGGTCGGATTTTGTAAAAAAAATTAGATTCGGGTTTAGGGTGTAAAGCAACCGATCTGACCCAATCTGACTCAAAAAATAATGCAATTATAACTTATATATTCAGATATAATTGCAATAATAGCCTTCTCTGAATTATTATTTTTAATTAGATCCTATTTTACCAAATAAAATTAATATTTTTATGAATATATTTGTTTCGGTCAGGTCATATTCATGTTTTATCTCAAAAGATGGGTCGAGTTTCGATTCAGATTTTAGGTCGAGTGAAGTCACCCTAAATCCGAGTCGGATGAGGTCTTGGATGAAGGATGTATTTTTCGGATTGGATCAGCCAGAAAATCCACCAAACCCGACTCATGCCATCCCTATTCTTTATGGTACTTGACTTATCACCATTCTTTGATATCAGGAGCACATTCCATGGGGAGAGCACACTGCAGCTTCATTGTTGATAGGCTTTACAATTTCAATAACACAGGAAAGCAAGATCCAAGTATGAAGGCATCATTGTTGGCAGAAATGAGAAAGCTGTGTCCCCAACGGAGAAAGGGCCAAACCGATCCACTCGTGTTCCTAAACCAGGCATCTGCATTCACCAACTCTTACTACTCCAGAGTGTTAGCCGGCGAATCTGTACTCGGAGTTGATCAGCAGCTACTCTATGGTGATGAAACTAAGCAAATCACTGAAGAATTCGCAGATGGGCTTGAAGATTTCAGGAAATCGTTTGCTCTTTCCATGAGTCGAATGGGGAACATGAATGTTCTAACAAGAAAGGAAGGCGAAATACGCAAGAATTGCAGATCTACAAATAAATACTAGGCCACTCACTCGGTTCGGGGAGGAATGACTAATAATTATTGAAATGCCAAATGTCTTGGATTTAGGTATTGCATTAATATAAAAAAACAACATAATATCAACTGTTTTCTTTCCACAAATAAATTTGTATAACCTGAAGTTGTATTGTTGTACGGAAAAGCTACAAGTTCAATCATCTAATAACTACACATCACTATTTTTTCCCGGCAATTTAACATTTAGATTTTAAACATAAACCAAATTATATGTCAGTAAAAAACCGTTTGCCTAACCTGGGAGAGATAGCTAAATGTTTACCAACCTTGAAAAAATGGGACTTCCTCCAACTTTCAGTAAGAAATGGGACGAAAACTGTAAGCCATCGGATTTAGATTTTTTCCAATTAAGCATAGAATTTTAAAGGTAAACTATGTGAAAAGTCTCCTATGTTTTCGGTAAGACCGATTTTAGTCACTAATTTAAAAATTAAGGGGAAATGATTGTTGGATAATGCAAATCATTAAATTAAATAAATAAATATTTTTTAGAAAATATTTTTCTATATTTGGAAGATATTGAAGAGTTGTTAAGATTTTATGATAACCACCTCTATTTATTATTTATTTTCCCCTTGTCTTTTCCTTATAAATATCAAACTATACTTCACTATTTTATATACATCAATTCCGTGTTTGCTCTACAATTCTCTTCTTCTTTATCTTCAAAATTAGCAATGTCAAACGAGTTCCATTTCCTTATTTCGGGTGTACGAAATATGAAAAACTGTGTTAACCTTAGGGGGGCGACGTCCAATTTTGGATTACACCAATCTGGACAAAATTGCTTCTAAGACAATGATGACATGGAACAATGATTATATCGTCTTTATTTTATTTATTTATTTTTATTATTTATGTTAATCAATGCTAACATTTCATTTTGCAGTAGTCTTTTTTTACTAACAATGGTCCTTAATGTTATCAATATGCCCAATTTTAGTCTCTACGCCATTAACTTCCATTAACTCTTAACGAATATGTGATATGTTAATTGAAAAATATTAAACAAATCCATAAGCCACCAGGCAGTAAGTGACGTGGAAAGAAATTTTTTGCATATATATATATATATATATATATATATATATATATATATATATTACAAAAGAGAAAATCGTCTCAGTGACCAAAAATTCCTTATAATATACGATTTTAACCAACTTTTTCCGGATTTGCCAAAATGACCAACAAAATCGCAATGCGATCGCTAATTCGCAACGCGATCTCCATTATCGCAAATTCGCGTTGCATTTCGCATTGCAATAGTTGGAAATCGCGTTGCGATGGTCTACAGTGTCGTTGCGATTTTCCCAATTCGCAATGCGAATAAGTAAATCGCAACGCGAATTGGGAAAATCGCAATACGATACTGACTATCGCAATGCGATACTTACTATCGCAATGCGATAATACAAAATCGCAACGAGATACTGACTTTCGCAACGCGATTCTGACTTTCGCAACGTGATTTACATAGCGCCATTCGTATTAACGCGTATTTTTTTTTCAAATTCCAAACACGAATTTTTTCTTAATAAATCGGAAACTGAACTGTCCACAGTAATCGCAACTCATAACCTCAAACCCAAAATCACAACACTCAGTCCCATCTCCATCTCTCACTCTCTACGGCAAAATCTGTCCCCATCTCCGAAGATTTTCGTCCCCATCGCCGTCGAAATCCCTCACAACCATTCACAGTCAAAAATCCCTCACAATCATTCAGAAATGGAAAATCAACCTCCGAGGGTTAGTTTTTTTTATTTTTATTTTGAAATTTTTGCATTATTTTAGGTTTTTCATATTGAGATTGATGATAAGTTTACTGGTAATTTCAATAATAGATTAACCATTTCACTTAGATTTCTTATTAAATTTATTCGATTGCTGCCAATACTGCTAAACTGTTTAGCCTGTGAAGTTAGTATTTGTCTTTGTTTTGTCTTTTGGTTGAAGTAATGCAGAAGAAGAATAGTTTCGAGAATGAAAATCGCAACGCGGAAATAACTATCGCAACGATAGAATCGCAACGCGAAATAAAAAACGCAACGCGAAACCAAAATCGCATTGCGATTTTCATTTCGCGTTGCGATTCTCTCGTTGCGATTTTCATTTCGCGTTGCGATTTTCATTTCGCGTTGCGATTCTCTCGTTGCGATAGTCATTTCACGTTGCGATTCTCTTTATCTCGTTGCGATTTTCATTTCAACCAAAAGACAAAACAATGTTGCAAATTTTAGTTTCAAGAATAAACTACTATTTATGTTTATTGTTTTTGGTATATCTTGACAGTGTAGTTTTTGGTATATCTAACTTGGTATGTTTATTGTTTTTGTAGAAATTTTTTTCGGCTTCATTGACATTAAGGAATAAAGTTAGCCTAGCCACTACAATTGCTTCGAAGCTTTCACCTGCACAAAGAAAATTGTTTGAGGAAACTTGCTTCGGGCTATGGCTGAGAGTACAACATCCGGGTGGAGATGCTAATTTGACCCATTTGTGGCTTCAGACCATGACTAGAGATCTACCCGACAGTATACAACGTGGTGAGGAAGAGATATGGTTTCATTTTCCACCGGCGTATACTTATTTTGGGCGGAAGGAGTTCTGCTTAATCACTGGTCTACGATTCGGACACGATGATGTAGGCCGGTACACTCGTCATATCACCTGCCCATCATGGTTATCCAGGGTTTTTCCTGATGAGTCAATAGAGAAGCCGAACTTACACGTCGACGACATGAAGAAATTGTTTAATAAGAAAGATGGTTTTACTCGGATGAATGACGTCGATGTTATCCGAGTATGCCTTCTACTACTTTTGTATGCCGTCTTTTTAGGCAGAGAGGCCAGACAACCTATTCCTCAGGAGCTAATATTATTGGTAGAGGACCTAAATGCATGGAATATGTTTCCGTGGGGTTCGTATATATGGAAAGCTACCTGGACTAAGTTGTCGTCTGCCTTTGATGACCGCAAAAGTTTGCGGGGCGATGGGTCGAAATACACTTTGTCAGGCTTTGTTTGGGCCTTTAAGGTAAGAATTTCTATATAATGTTTTCAAAATTATAATTAATTATTTAACAATTACTAATGTTTGTTATTATATTGTTTGTAGATTTGAATATTCGAGGCCTTTCCCGCCATGAAGACATATGCAATAAAAACTTCAAATGATATTCCCAGGGCTATTTCCTGGAAGAGGAAACGTCTGTTGGATTGGGAAGACTTAATACCATATGCGACAATAAATAATGTAAGTTAACACAAATACTATCATATATAAACAAGTTATTAATAGTAGACGTTTAACTTTGTTAGAGTTTTTATATTTTTAGGAGGCCAACATTCCATTAATGAGACTGACACCCACGGAGGCTGAGCTTGCCACTGATTGGTGGCAAGCTAGTCAGCATTTTCTTGATGGCACGAATGATGAGCAGCCTCCACTTCCTCCACTTCGAGAGTTATCACCTCATCCAGAGCCATCACCTGATCGACCCGACTATACACCTCTACAACGAGAGCCATCACCTATCCCGTTACATCATCGAGCCTCTTCTCCACCATCACCTCATGATAGGCGACCGGCAAAGATGCCACGACTTCTATCTCCCTGTTCTCCACCTCCACGGGATGAGTCAAGGGAGTTACGTGATGAGGTCAATGCCTTGCGTGAGGAGATCGGTACTCTACGCGATAACGATGGTGCATGGCGTGTGGAGGTCAATGCCTTGCGTGAGGAGATCGGTACTCTACGCGATAACGATGGTGCATGGCGTGTGGAGGTGTCTACTTTACGTGGTGAGGTTGCCGTTCTAAGTGAGATGGTAGTATCGTTGCAGAATGAGGTTCATACTCTATGCAACGAGGTAAGTTTAAGATTTTCCATATTTAACTTGATGATAAATTTACTCGTAATTTCACTTAAATTAACCATTTCACTTAGATTGCTTAGTAAATTTATTCGGTTGCTGCCAATACTGCTAAACTGTTTATTAACACTGTGAAGTTAGTATTTGTCTTTTTGTTTTGTCTTTTGGTTGAAGTAAATTTATTCGGTTGCTGCCAATTCTGCTAAACTGTGTATTCTTTAACACTGTGAAGTTAGTATTTGTCTTTGTTTTGTCTTTTGGTTGAAGTTTTGAAATATATTTGTCTTTGTTTTCACTGTTTAAATATCATGTCCGTTTATTTACTGATATTTGTATTTAATTATTTAGCGGACCGATAAGGTGGATGCTTTACGTCGAGTTTTTCTTGCACGACAGAGTTCACGCATCAGACGGCGTGCACGTGCTATTAAGTCTCCGTATACCCCAATAGTGCGAAGACACCGCAAGAAGAAGCCCGACTCACCTGTCATCCCTCAAGAGTCCACTCCTATCGTTGAAGAGGCCCCTATCATTCCTCGAGAGTCCCCTCTCACCGTTCAAGAGGCCACTGTCATCCCTCAAGAGTCCACTCCTATCATTGAAGAGGCCCCTATCATTCCTCGAGAGTCCCCTCCCACCGTTCAAGAGGCCACTGTCATCGTTGAAGAGGTCCCTCCCACCATTCAAGAGCCCGATTCACATGGCGTCATATGTAGGATTCTTGAGAAACCCTCTGACGTGCCGGACATGATGGATTCAAGTTGGCTCTCGTATGAGTTACCGGCCAGTACCATACCGGTATCTGAAGTGGAGAGGGAAAAACTACCGGACACAATTCTGGATAACACCCTTTGGGCTAAGACCGCAGTTGATTTTTATCTACATGAGCGAAGCCAGGGGTGTTTCACTGATATATGCAAGCTCAATGATGATATCTATTTGTTGCTTGATCGGTCTTGGTGGGGCGTATTATTAGGGGTCGAAGACAATGGCTATTTTGATGGAGGGGTAAGTCTTATATTTTTCTTATATTTTAATTTGATTATTTTTTTGTAAATTTATGTAAGTTACTAATATATGTCTTTTTTTTGTAAAACAGCATATCGAT